ATACAATACAATAAAATATAGAAATACAAGAGTATACTATGGAAGTGCAATGATGCCACCAAGGAAAAACAATTTCTGAGTTATCTTGTAATTACATATTTTCAGTGTATGAATAACCTATTGCATTTGCAAGGACAGTGACAATGTAAAACGCTGTGAAATACGCACAGACTGACTTTCCTTTTGTTTTTTTTTGTAATTAAATGTTACAGTTTGCACCTCATGTGAACAGTTTTAACCATGAGGACACTCACAAATATCCTCAAACAAGAACAAGTGTACTCTGGAATCGATTCTACTGCTTAAAACAAAGGCTGATAATCATGATGTGGGTGTAGTATGACAATTTGTGCTATCACGTGATCACATTAAGTACGTGGATCTCGTAATATCAAGATAATCTGTTTACTCACAATAATGAGATAATCTACTAACAAATACTGTATGTAATCACACATTAACACAATTTTCATTACTTTCCTGAATTAATTTTTTATTTAAATAGTCTTTATTGGAAAAAGCCCACAGAGAGAGAAAGTCTTCATCCAGTGACTTTGAGCTAAGAGCTCATCATGCTGAAGACAGCTTCCACAGGAAGATGCAAACAGTCTCAGGACAGGTAAACTGGCGACACGTGAGATTTAGATTGGAAGAATATGTTCTTGTCTATAGTTTGTATTTGTTTTTATTTACTCGTGTCTAGCAAAAGTCTAACTGCAATATTTTGGCAATCAGGAGGCAAAATTAAATTTGGGAAGATGTCACAAAACCTTACTTGTTGCAATGAAAGTCTTCGGAAAACTTTTTGTTTATGAATGGTCTTTCATTCCAACAGTTCATTTTTTTTGTTGCAATTGCAGTTCAGGCAGTGCTGGTATCACTGTGATTAGTAATGTGATTCGTTTGCTGTCAATTTGCCAGGTGGTGATCGGTCATGTCATCATTAGGTGCACTGAGGATCTTCATGTGGCATGTTCTTCAATCTGACCCTGTCAGGGCATTTATGGCCGGTGTCCACTAGCTGGGGTATAAGTCCAGATGTGCTTCTCTTTTGGCTGAGAGTTGTCTCCGTCACTGGAGGTAACAGGATCATCCCAATTTGTGTTGTGTTGTTTCATGTTGGCCTGGCTTGTGTTACTGAGTGACGGCAACCAGTTTATCAGCAACATTCCTTAGGATCTGATTCAAAGGAGCTAAGTAAGTCCAGGGTTTTATTTCAAGGCAATATACAAAGATTATTATTAAAACATTCCTAAATGATTAATTGCAAACATAATCACAACTTTGATGCTACACCTCAATATGGAAACATGATTTAATTTCAGGCTTATTTTAACATATATTCATATTTCATCCATTCATTACATACAGTATATCATCCAAAACTAACATTCTGTAAAGCAGTTAATGAGTAAAATAATCTACTTGTTATCTTTCTGACAAGCTGACTGTCACGTGGTTCTTGTATGGAATTGGTTCTTATACCGTTTTGAGTAAATGAAACTATGCTTCCTCCTTTTTATCATTTATGATTTAGAAATGCAAAGATATGCATAGGAATGCATGCATTTTCATGGGAAAGCTGACACTGAAGCATATTTCAGTAATTGCATTACTGGTCTAGCTGAGCAGAGAACATTTCTATTTCATATGGCCTTACATTAATTGAGACAAACAGGGAGAGATTTTTTTTATTCATAATATTCTCTGTTATCCTAGTGTAAAATGATGAGGATGATGATCGCATTTTCTGATTATAGTTTTCAGGAGCCTTAACCTCATACTGTGTTGTGATTATCTTTCAGCAGGTGGATAACAAATTGTCAAATTTTAAGTACTGGAGTGTGCTGGAGAGTTAATAGGTTTAAAAGTACAATTTAATGGGTGGTGTTTCACCAGATTAACTATAAGGTATGAAAATGATCAAAACATCCAGAATGGAGTAAACATCTGGTTCTAGAGATAGTCATCCAGGAAAACTGGTTTTCCACAACTTTGCAAGTTTCTGGTAGGGTTGGGTTGTAAGAACAAAAACACAAGATGTGCTTGGATTCCTATTACAGGCGATCTCTTGACCTTATTTGGCATGATCCTAAATAGTTCAAGAAGTACTACTTTTAAGAGATCAACATATTTGCCCTGTTATTAGAGTTGTAGTAACCCCAAGAAGAACGGAGTCTTTAACATTGTCCTCTGCTTTAACTGACACGGGTCAGAATTTTGTAAAGGAAAGGCGAAATATTATGTGTCTTTGAACAATCTGATCTGTGTAAAAATGAAACAGCAGTATTTGAAAGTTTTGTCATGAGTTACAATGATGCAAACATGAGTGTGAAATCAATTACTGTCACAGAGTCAATTGCTGTGCTCATATAAAGCTTGTGAACCCCCTAGATTAGTCCATCTTTTTGTATATTTTGAAGATAAAACATAATTAGGTCTTCCTGAAAATTTTAATAAAACATGAAAACCATCTTCAGCATAATGAACCCTATTAAACATGTAACACAAAGACATAAGATATATTTGCGAGTGTGTATGTGAACTTGCTGTGTACCATGGTTTGTCGGTTGCCATAGACTGGAGGGTAGTATTATGGGACAGTCAGTCATATTGTGTTGTTGTGCATAAAATAAAACACAGGTTGGTTTTTGTTACTCCAGCTCTTTCTTCAATGATTTCTGATTCCCCTTAAGGCTAAGCATTATAAATAAAACAGAACCCAACAAACACTTCCTTTAACAGTTATCAGTCACTTGCATCGTCATTTAAGAATTGTGGCCAATTTTTCCTTATAGAACTGCTTCACATCTGTGACATTTCCTCGCACGAATGGCTTCCTTTGCTTGCTCTCCTTGCACAGACTTTGACTTGGCCAATTAAAGCAGCAAATTTAATTTTGTTTCAACCATTCTATTGTACATCTGCTTCTGTGTTTAGGATCATTTTGCTGCCTGTCCCACTTTTAGCTTATTTAGAGCTTAAAATTAGACGGCCTGACATTTACCTCCAGAATTTGCTAATACAGTGCCAAATTAGCAGTTCCAAGAATTATGGCAAGGCGTTTAGGTCCTGAGGCAGCAAAGCAGCCCCAGACTATTATATTCTCACCAGCATGGTTGATGGTCATGATATGAGTGTTCTGTTGGTACTACATTACTCTAGTACTGTTGACATTACCTACATCTGCATTACTGTGTATATATGATGCATATTCTGACCTATACAAGAGGTCAATCTTTACCAAACCTCTTTGAACATCAGCCTCTCGAGAATGAGCATGCAGTGATGCATTGGTAGATAATTCTTGTAAATTTTTTAAAAGCACAACGAACCATGTAACATATTTAAAAAAAAATATTCCAGTGCTTTGAAAGACACTGCTAGTGACTTAAACTTACAGTGAGATAAATTGGTGGCCTTGATGGCTTTAACTACAGATGGTACCCCAAATATGCATGGAGAGATCAATGGCTTTATTGATCACTTAAGAAGATACATCGGGGTATGTATTGCTTATGCAGTACCATACCACTGTGTTACTGTGAAGCTGTGTGCCTGCCTGTCAACAACAGGAAATGCAGAAAAACGGTAGTACTGTATTTGCACAGTTGCAGTGACTATGTGGCATCATGGGTCAGTTTTGATTTACTGTTCTGAGAATTTGCTCTTGTATTATTCTCCAGGGGGTCTTGTGTGGACAGTATTTAAAATTCAAAGAAATAATGGACTTTTAGCAATCATCAATGGACTTCATTCATGCACTGTGAATAACCAGGAGTTTTTTTTTTTTAGAAACCATCAGTGTATCACAGGTCGATGTCCTTTATCATACTGATGTCAAGTAGCTTAGATGAGAAAACATTTTGAAAATAGTTTTTGCCCAGCAAATGAAATCATATCCTCTCTACAGGAAAAGAGAATAAAAGCAATTGTGATGGAAGACTGCATCTGGGTCTGTGACTTACAGTAGCACATCACAAAGAGTTTCCTGATATGCAGGACTGGAGCTGCCAAGCATTAGTTGTAGAAGAACTGCAGGAGACTTTTTGTACAGATTCATAATTTCAGGATGATAAAACAACATTTAAATTATTAGCCAACCTATTCTCTGTGAATGTAGGGAATGCACCTGACTATGGTCAGCTGTACGGCGATAAATATAAATGATTTAATATAAAATACTCTACAGTACAGTATGTGTATATCTTACTGCCCCTTTGTATTTTCATGCAGGACCAGTCCCTCTGAAAAAAAGGTATACACCCCAGCATTGTATGACTAAAGGAAAGGCTACACCTGTCTAACATGTCAATGTCTAACATGACAGCTTCAAGAGTAGTGGTTGATGAATAAAAATATAACATCAAGAGGTCCCATGATGCTACTGAATCAAAGGAAAACAGATGATTTAATATCTTGTGAGCAGAAACAGACTGTTAAATCAAAAAGAAAAGTTGAGCACTGGTAGGGATATACTTCAGTTTATCGGAGTGTACCTGAAAAACTTTAAAAGCCATGTGCCATGAACTGCAGAAGCATGAGCATTTGAAGTACAGAAGAAATCCACAAACCACTTTAAATAATAAAACGCACCGTCTGCTTCTTCGTTTCACCCCGTTAGTGGTTCTGTGCAAGACAAATTTCTTGTTTCACTGTTTCACTGATGAAAGAGCCAAGTTATGAAGCAATATCTAGACTCACTAGAATATGTGTCCATGTTTATGGCACTAGTTGACATGTCAATACTGAAATACTGTATGTTCTGCTGGTATTTGATAAGGTGTCTGATTATTTTGAACAGAATGTTTCTATGCTGAGAAACACAGCAGTGTCAGCAAAAACCAGGGCCACTCAATAATATTCAAAACTTATCCATATAGTGATTAACCTTGATTCCAATGTTACAGTGTCACTGCAACCTTGGAAATAAGCCATCACCGTATACACAATTCCTGGAAGTGCCTTGTTCTGAAATGCTGCAGGTCGCTACTTCTCATCTCATACAGATTTATGAATGGACATATTTGAACACCCAGTGAAAGTGCTACTAGAGCTGGACCAACTCGCATTACTGGTATGCTTCATATTATTTAATAATGATGCGTATAAAAATGTACTAGAGTGTATGTTAGTATACTTTATCATTAAATAAATGTTTTTTGTATGAAGTAGAATGTTTTCAAAGTAAGTACTGCTATTATGTTTATCGTTTCATTTTTCCCATATTTCTCTGTTTCACTTTTTTTGTTTGCAGTTACTGCATATTGTATTGATTTCTGGTTAATGAATCTTATGAAGAGCATAAAATGATTTTACAATACAAACCAAACAAGGAGTTCCAAATCTAACACAGTTTCTTACTACCAAGTAACACTACAGTTTATAAAACAAACACAGGTTTACTAGTTTGTGCACATAAGAGCTTAAATGTGCCATTAACATCCTGACTGAGAACAATAATTCAAGAGGCTCTTCAACACACTTCTCTTTAGGAGGTCCATGTTACTGCATAAAACCATTATTTATTAAAATTAGCTCACCTAAATCAACAAGTTCCCACTAAAGCTAATGAACCTTTGGTATAAATTGTGTTTTCTGCATAAGAATCTGCATACTGTACATCCAATAATATCGCATAATTTGTGTCTGTATGGAAAAGAGCAACTGTTAAGGACTGAGCTGGAGTAAATCCAGTGTCTTTCAAGGACAGTGTCTTTTAAGGCAACCATTTTCTATTACTAAAAGGCACTCATGAGGAACACTCCCTCAAATATGGTATACAATATTTATCTGAGGCTTTCACGAGAGAATTAGCAGCCAAGTAAATGTGGCAACACCTTCCATTTGTAGTACTCAAAGTAGACCATATCTTGGTAAAAGAATGGTGAGTGTTCTCCTGTACAAACACATCCACTTGACTTATCACCTTAGAGGAAAAAAATCATAAAGATGCAAACTTATCTTAACCAGGCAATTCTTTTATGTTTGATTCATTTATAGTCACTCATTGCAGAGGCAGTAATTACTAGTTACTTAACATATGTACAAAGTTTCTTTGATTAACATTGATGTACAGTATTATTGCAATCATTTCATTATTTTAGGACACTGCTCTGATTTTTTTTTTTGAAAATCATGAAAAGCTTTTTATAAGATGAACAGAATTCTTGACATTTGTGTCTAAAATTAAGCATACTGGCAGAGCAGGCTCTATAGTAATGTGAGAAGCATGGTTTCCTTGAGGATATGGCTGTCAAAGTAAGAAAGCAATTAAATCTATCATTATACAAGGCACAAATTAACATTGACTTCTAAATATTCTTTCAAAATGGTAGGTGTGAACTTATAAGTACCTTCAGGGAAAATATGACAAAAACATACAACTATGATTGCCTATTTTGGAACATATCTTTGGTGTCTGGGGAACTGAAATTGATTTATAAGAGTTTGAGATATATATTGTTGGATAGAATAATAATCTCCAAACAATAATAAAAAAATGTCTTATTTATACCCCAGAAATGAAAGTGTAAATTGTTATTAAAGCTATGAAAACCAAATCTTGAAGTTCTACTCATATTGAAAGCAATATTACTGTCCTGCACTCTGTCTTTTTCAAACTTAATCCTTGATGTGAACTGAAGTATTTGTAATGAATCTTTAAGGTGGATCAAGGTGCTTTGAGAGACAAGAATAGCTTAGCAATTCGCAGTGAAAACTTAAGGAAAAGCTGGTACCTGAATTGGGCCAAACAAGAACAGTTTTTTCTGTCATTCTTTAGATTTTACTTTTCTAATGTGTGTATTTTTAAAGCAGTTTTAAAGCCATGATGAAGCTTTTCTTTCTGTGGAAAGACCTGACAATAGCTCACCATACTGTAAGTGGTCATCAAGCAACTTGAGAGATCTTGAGCAAATCGTCCAAGAGGAATGGACAAGGTTGCACCAAGCTGGTGTGCAAAGTTTGTAGAGACTTACCCAAAAAGATTTGTGGCTGGAATTGCTGGCAAAGGCGTTTCCACCAAATATTGAATTCAGTTGTTTATGTAATCAGTATATTTCATTTCATATTTCATTTTTTTTTTTGCTTTTGACATATCCTGTAACTTGTCTTTACTTTGAGCATTCAATGTTGAATAAAATATTATAGTTTTAAAATGTGTATGCATCATTCTGTAATTTCACAAAATGTTACACCATAGGAAGAGCCTGGTTATTTTTTGTGAGGCTCTCTCTCTATATATATATTTCATGTGATCAGATCTCACAGTATATGCATAATATTTATACTTAATCATAAAAGAGGGTTTTGAAAAATCTATTGGGTAGCTACCAAAAAAAATGATCTATACTTGTTAAATGGAAAATATTTGTCTTATAAGTGTTCAGTAAAGCTAACAGAATCAAACTGAATTTAATTAAATTAAGTTGAATTAAATTAGTCACAATATACATTATAATCAGCTAAGTATTATATGTATTTCCGTCTCACAGCTGTAGTGTGAAGGGCATTTGTCTTTCTTTCCTCATTTAAGATCTTGCACTTCAATTAATTTCTACATCTGCTGTATTTTATTTCACTGTTATATACAGTATGTTCCATGCTCTTTATTCTGTATGCTGTATATTACTGTGACAATGAGCTGTTCCATGCATTTCAAGCAGGCCTCTTGTGATGCTTTGAATGTATACAAACATTGTTTATCCAACTGTATAAGAACAGTAACAGTACCTTATTAGCATATGCATCTCCCTTGTTGTTATTATTATTGTTATTTTTACATGTATACTGGCTGTTGTCTTTTGTCTTAATTATTTCTTATGTACTACTTGTTGTCCTTGTGGATCCACAATAATTCTACATTGTAGAGTTTGTTGCTTTTTTGCCCTTTCTGCCATTTTGTGTCAGGTTACAGACTGGTTAAAATGGATTTTTACTTCTCTATCGGGGGTAGGTGCGGAGTTGAGCTTAGGCTATTTAACCTGACGGTGACTGGGTAACTCATAGTTTAGTTCTGGTAACTTTACCTTGTCTGTCTTCTAAAGGCATGAATTTAAACTGCAAGTGTTAGTTTCCTTGTAAAGACAGTATCAATGTGTTTATTGTCTAGGATTTGTAGAATGTAGAACTATTAAATTGACGCTTGTTCTGCACCTCCTTTTGACTTACAGTAGGAGGCAGTACTTTATGACTGCTGTGACTACTCCTTGACTTGCATCAGTGCAATTTTGTTCTCAGTTTTATTTATTATAGTAATAAATGACATATTCAATTTTATTTCTATGTATTCCTATTCACCTTATCACATTAGGCCTTTGTCATTATGTAAAGCAAAGCCTTACTTGTAACTTAAACTTGTAGCCTCTGATTGTTTAGGTATTCCAATGAAAAGGAAAGAGACACAGACCTTATTTTTATGCATGTTAAAATAATAACTTTAACAAAATTCTCAAATTAACAGCTTCAATGTAGTATAGCAGATTATGTTGTTGGATGTGAATAGAAAACAAACTGAAAATCTTCATACTTCATTGTGGGTGTTATGCAAAAACATTTTTTTTTTTGCAATATGCAAACTCAGGACATTTATATAGAGACCTATAGGCCAACTTTATACTGTTTTGTGTTACTTGTATTCCTGAAAATATTATTTCATATTCTTTTGGAACACATGCAGTACAATCTTGCACATACTGTACATTTACTGTGCTTCTTTCATAAATAGAACTGGCATTTCAATCAAAAATCCTTCTAAAGGCTTATATTTAACAAAGATGAAATATAACAAATGATTTATATTGTCATACTTCTTTATTAAGTTTGATATTCAGCTCATTGGAAAACCTTAAACTGTCAGGAAGAAGAAATAATGTAGAGGACAATTTCCAACAGAAATTAAATTTGTTTATGTAATATATAGACTAAATGTGCTTTAACATAGTGCAGCTGTTTCAGTAAAAAGTGGATCATCCCTCAATGTAAAATAATCGCAAAAGATTAGAGCTGAGCATTTATGAACTTTTTCATACAGTAACTGACAGAATATGAATCTCATGATATGTTTCAGAATTATCATCCATGTCACGGGTTTGAATTACATAAGGACCTCACAGATACAGTATATCTATTAGAAAAACAGTTTCTAGATTAATCAAAAAGAGGAGTGGAAATGCATTATAGTGTTGTATCTAAAAGGTATTCCCACTCACTTCCATTTCAAGGTCGATGTTAGCAAAAATCCTTCATAACTCCTATTTAGTCTAAATCACATGATCCTTCTGAAAACAGAATTATATCCTATTTGGAAAACCAGCCAAGACTTAATTCAATGGCCAGCTTTATCACTTACCCTAGCAGGTTATTCTAAGTCTCTTAATATTGTGAATATTCCCCAAGATCTTTCCGCATCCTCTAATTTGTATTGCAAACTGATTCTTTAATTCTTAAGATTGACAATTTTTTGCTTTAAATAACATCTATATCTCTTCCAACGACTCAGATTAATGGAGGCCCAGGTCAAGTGTGCCATTCCTTCCAGTCTCCTTATTTTCGTTCCTGTTCCTCTCTTCCAGGTCTGGGACCTGCCTGCTCAGCACCCCTAAACATCAAATGTGTCACCTCTGACTGTGTGCCAATTGACAGGTGTCTAAGCAAACAGTGTGCCACTCCATCTGTGATGACTGCCTTCTGTTGTGTTTGGACAGCAGGCCAAGCTTAAGTGGAAAGGGAAGTAGACACCAAAGAGGTAAAATAAACACACAACACACTCAACAAAACACTGGCTATTATATGCATAACTCTGTCACTATAAATTATTGCAAACATTGTTTTTGGTGTCAATAATCTGCATTCCAAAAGTAAAACTTTTAAATGTGTTCCTATAGTAACAAAGTTTGTTTCTCATTAGTAGAAAATAGAAACATGTAGAGATCTATAGAATTAAATTATGTAGAAGTTATTTAAAATATCTGGTACGAAAATCTTATTTTACATATAATAAATGCAACATATAAAATAGTGTGAGAATCAGTAATACTAAAATTGAGATGCTGTATACAATCAGTCAAAAAATGGGCATTATTAAAATGGGAAATATTAATTCTTTATGTCTCATTTTAATTGCATAAAGAAAACAGTGGGACATATTTGTGGGAATGCAACCTGGACAATCAGTATAACCCTCCAAATTAAATGGAGTAATCTTTGATCATAACCTATACATTTCTGAGCTAATGTCTATACCACTAATTAAATATACAGTAAATAGAAAGTATCTTGAAGACTGAACACACTTCATTTATTCAACTTGTGCTTGCAAGAATATTAACTGGAATTGGTACTAATGTTGTTCCTTATGTCTGCCAACATGCTGTAGTTTAAATTGCATGGAGAATAAATTCCGCAACATACATGTACTAGCATACAAAGTAAACGGTTATTTTCTTTTAAAATTGTAATTATTAATTACCTACAAGGTATGGTATATTCCTTATATATATCAAAATCATTTGTTTTGTGGTTCAAAGAATCTGTTCTGTCAAGAATGTCTTCCAATTTATTTTTATAAGGAGTACAGTAAACATTGGTATATTTTTTAAAACATTTTTACGAATAACATCTGTAAATATTATGTGATAGTGTTTTTCTTTGTGTAGTGAAAGATCACACTTTTCTATTTGGAGAACATATTAACACATTGCACTTAAATAATAAATATTTATCTTTGGACACTTTCTATAAGTAATCTTGAACACAATCTGCAAACAATGTTTCTGAAATTTTCAATTTGAAGTGTCAGAAAATGTCCATAAGGAAGTTTCTTTAATGTTGTCATCTTTTTACGTTTCCAATTCAAGACTAAAAATCAACAAGCAATTCTATCAAGCTTTATTTGTATTTATTTGTAAAATGTTTCTATTTCTAAGACGGAAAATATTGAAAAACTGTACACCAAATACTAACTAAAGTAATAATCAGGATTCTTAAAGGATCTTGACTTTTATCTCTTATTCACCGGTGTGGATTCTGTTGTTGTAACCTTGTGTAAGGTACTTAGCCCAGATGATCCAGTTATATAAATAGATACCCCCATTTTTATGTAAAAACATCAGTAATTGTACTGTAACTTCTCCAAGTTCCTTAAATAACAGCATCATTCAGATAAATTAATAATAATAATCTATCATTTATAAGTCCTTGCTAAGAAAAGCTACCATCCATTTTGTTTCTGAATTATTCAAAAGTGACATGGAAAGCTTGATACTCAGCAATATATAATTATATTCACTGCATGGCAAAATGAGGAAGACAAGAATGCCCTTGAGTTATGAAATAATTTCTAAAAACACACTCCAATGCGAATGTCATTAAAATGATTTAAAGGAACTTCTAGAACATTCTCTCAGAGTGACTAAGGAGCAACACAGATGTGAAGGATACTGTGTTTTTATGTATGAACACATATTGTACATTTCCATACACAAACATTTTAATTTTCATTTAGAGTGTTGATTCAAGATATTAACCAGTTTTGTTCCCAGTGCATTCTGACAACATCACTGCAAAACTTGCTCTTAAGAGGGAGATCCTTGCTTCTGTTTCACAGTGCTTCAGGTTTTAAACAGAACGACGGTGCTTACTTTCATTACCTTAAGGGTATTTCTGGGGGGAGCTTCTTTTCAGAACCCACAAGACTTGCTGTTGCCAAATAAAAGCATTCTCAGACCCTGCGTTTGTTGTTGAAATGCTTTGTGTGAGTGTGAGTAATACCCGAGAAGGTGCATGTACTGTATAAGATTGTGTGGTACCTGCTTAAATATTTCAATCATGATAGCAATAATTGAACAGATTTAACAGGGAAATCCACTTAACATCTGTCTAATGGCACTTTAAAGATAGACAGGTCTTTTATTATTTATGAAATATCATCAATGAACCTGTTTCAGCGCAATATGCATGTACAAAACTGCTCATAGCCTCTAATTGTTTTATCTCCTGAGTATGAAGTAACAGATATGGAAATAACACATGTGGGAATGTGTGCACATTCAAAGGTTTACACATGAAAAGGTGATTTGTGCATATTTGCCACATAGAACAGTCATATTTGTGGTCTATCTGTTCACTGTGACTTGACTAGAGCACTTACTATTAACTTAGACCCCATCTAAAAAACAAATCCTATTGTATACTATATATAGCCTGAAGACAGAAATACAGAACAGCTAAAAATGTTAAGAGACCATTGAACCCAATTTGAATCTAATTTAGTCATGTAGCCAGTTCTGCTCATACTGTAAATGCCCCCTTAGCTGTACTAAGAACAACATCTAACCCTGGGTTGAATTAAATGGAGGCAATTGTAACCAATCAAATGCCATTTGAGAGATTGAAGGACACTGGGCTGCCTTCCAAAAACCCATGCAAACAGAGGGGAGTATGAAAAATCCAGGTGCCTGAAGCTTCAATTAAAGCCAGGACCCTGGATCTATAAGATAGTGCTACCAGTAATCACCATGTAGATGTCCTCCCCAGTGATGCCACTACACAGGATCATCAGAATTGGAAAGGAACTGCCTGAAGGAATGCCTATATACTGTACACATACTGATTTCAATGACATTATCAAGTATTAATGGTTTGTTGGCAATCATGTTCAACATATTCATAAGTTTCTAGGTCAATAAAAAAATTGTATTTGGGTGCTTATCCACATTGTGGTCTATCTGTTAAGACAGATACCAAGAGGATATGGAAATATGGAAAACATCCATTTAAATAGACTTTATATGAACTACAAATTGCTGTAATAACAACGGAATGCAGCATTTCCTATGACATTGAAAACTTGCCAGACTATCTCTGTAAGCATAAAGGAAGAGTGACAGGCTTTTCCAACTGTATATCATGCAGATATACAATAGTCTCCCTGAAAGTAAATACAATGTTACAAAATAAAATATAACTTTACCTTCTTTGCATAATTTGCTTTATTTGAATTAATTTTTATTTTTATATTAACTGCATTGTTCTTATCGATTTAGATGTTAATTTGAATTTGAAGTACTGTACCTAAATTACATTTAATTGGAAGTCTGCTATTGACCAACGATAGTATGTTTTTGTTGATCATTGTAAAAAAATCAAATTGTAAGCAGAATAAGATAAGAATAAGCAACTAAGAGAGCCATGTCCAAAGTTTCGCAAACCAACTTTCCTAGAAAGACATACTGTAATTCATACTGTATTCCATAATTTGATAATTTTGTTACTGGTTGTATAATTAAATTAAACTAAATTAGTATTGCAGAATATTGTGTTGCTTATGCATTCAAATGATAAAAGACTATGCTTTTCAAATTTCTTGTCCTATCTTTTTGTAGTTTTATCATCCTTTGCTCTAGTTTACTGCTCCGCAAACTTTACCACCCCACAGTGTACTGACATGAAAATAAAAAAATGTGGCACACAGCCCCCCCCACACAAACCCAGGTCACCAGCTAGAAAGTTTGCTTCCCAGTGCATCTCCTCAACCTGACAGGAACTGATGACAGTTAAACACAGAATCTTTTGCTCAGCAGCTCTCAGATGTCTTTGGTTTTTTATTTTTATGTCCATCAAATTTGAAAAACCTGATATTCGCACCACACACAATTTCCACATGACCAGTCTCAGTATGAGGCCTCTATCTTATGTGAACACCAAATGTGAAAGGTGGGTCTTTGGTTACTCAAGAAAAAAAATGATACATAGACAATATTTAATTAAGTCATTATTCTGCAATAAACTGGTGTCCCATCCAGATCGTGTCCTGTTGATAGGTTTTGGTGTCTTCACAACCCTGTTTTGGATAAAGTGGTTAGATAATGAATGGAAAGATGGATTGTTTTATTTTTGTTAAGTGACCAAAATTCTGAGGCATACCTCTCAATGGCTGAAGGTTCCAGTATGTACTGTAGCTTTTCTTAAAATACTGTTGAAATGATATTCAACTTTAGATAGAACATTGTTAAGTTTAATGCTGTGGTACAATGCAGGGAGTGTTTGGTGTGGATTAAGGAAGACGCTTTGCCGTGGAAACCACACCTGACGTGAATAAGGGAATGAACGGCAGGTGTAGAAGTGGTTTAAAGAGCGGGAAAGATCTAGAAGGACCTCAGTCTTGCTGTAGCTGCAGTGGAGTATAATTGCGGAGGCTCTGCAGTGAGAGAGCTGGGCTGAAGCATGACAGTAGCGGGTGTGAGACACTCGTAGTCAGGGCGATGTTAGAAGAGCATGCCGCTGTGTATGAGTGAACAAAGACTTGATTAGCCGCTGTTGTAACCCCGTGCGAGGGTGGAGAAGAATGACAATTCCGGAGGGGATTGTGAGGAACAGGCTGCAAGGAAGAAAGTGAAAATGTCAGTCTGTGAGGAGACTGACAAAAGAAACGGAGCTTTATGAGATCATCGAAAGATTTCAAGGGACGGCATCCTGCTAGGGTGTGACAGCAGGGCTGTCGTGTCCGCTGTATGAGTGAGTTAATGAGTGGGGACCAGAGTGGGTTGTGTGGTAGAGGGACCCTCCCCCTGGCAATACATGGTATCAGAGAAGTGAGGAGGATCTATCTAGCTGAACCTTCTGGGAGATAGTGAGGTGCGCTGGCAGCTGCAGGATGTAACGCATTGGTGGCTGGGCATGATGTGATGTGTGCTGGCAGCTGTGAGTTCACAATCTAAGGGCGCGAGAGTGAGGTGTGTGAGTGTG